AAAAAAAAAAAAAAAAAAAAAAAAAAAAAAAAAAAAAAAAAAAAAAAAAAAAAAAAAAAAACAGGAAATATAGAATCCGCTGACTTAGCCGGGAAATGGAAATAAAACATCAGCTGATAGCAAGCAAAGGTTACCAAGGAAACCAAGGAATGGAACTTTCCTAAAAACAGTTTAGTGGAAAACAGCGTAAGTGGGGCACTTACGTTAATTACCGTTTATAAGTAAACGGTAAATGCGATTTAACCGAAAATCTATACAGTTCTTCATAGGACCAAAATGGACAAAATTACAAAGTTTGAATCAGCTAACGTAAATCTAACGATAGTTATCGTGAACGAAAGAATTGACGACACAGGTCGGGTAACTATTATATGTGGGATAGGTGGGATTATTTGTATTAAAGCTGTCAAAAAAGAAACACAGTTATTTAGTAGTAGAAAAGGAGGGATTGAAAGAGCTAACTAGATTAGTACCACAATGAAAAAAAATTCATGATTCTGAATTTGAGGTGTTATGATACTGGAAGAAGTAAATACAGGGATGAAGAAAGTGCTTAATCGGCCGATCGCAGGAAATATGACAGGGCTGGGGTGGAGCGAAAAAATCGAATTTTGCGGGGGAAGCTGATCTCAATGAAAAAGAGTTGTCAAATGAGCCCAATACATGAAGTGCAAGAAATTTCGTCAGATTAATTGGACCCCCTACTGACCCATAGTGGCCCTAAAAGCCTAAATCTTCAGGATGAGATTTCAAGGTTTCAGATATATCATTTTCGAATGATTTTCAAAAGTTGCAATTCTGTAGGGACAATATTTCGTCCATTTTGTCATATCATGAACGCGTAACGCACAATTTGCTCGTATTTATGAGATAAAATTGCCACACGGGCACCCTTTGAGGATGCATCGAGATACTTATTTGGTAAAATGGTGGGTAAATGAATAGATTTTGACAATTTACGACTCCCAGGACTAAAATTTCGTCCGTTTTGGCGTAATTAAAACGGTTAACCCATAAAAGCGTAGGCAAAGCGCTCCCGCGCACCGCGGTTGAAGCTGTTGCGCCGCGCGGCCGTTTTGACTTTTCCGGTGCAAGAACAGGAGCGACAGGAATTTCCGTGGCTAGCAGCAATGCTTATGAGGAAGACCAGGGAATGATTCACAAGTGTATATGAAATTGAGAAAAATATTTTGTTAGAATGGAGAGGTTTTCTAAGATAATGATGATTTCATCCATAAAACTGAATCTGAAATAAATCACATATTTTCACTGAAATAAATACACATTTTTTTGAAAACTGTGCGTTGCCCGTTCATTAAACGACAAAATGGAAGAAATATTGTCCCCAAAGAGTCACAATTTTTTAAAATCTTTTGAGAATGATATATCTGAAACCTTGAAATCTTATACTGATGATTTAGGCTTTTAAGGCCACTACGGGGAGGGAGAGGGTCAATTTTATGCGACGAAATTTCTTGAACTTCATATTGGGCCCATTTGACAACTTTTTTCATTGAGACCCACTTCCCCCACGAAATTCGATTTTTTTGTTCCACCCTAGCCAGGGCATCTGAAAAAGGGAAAAAATGTAAGCGCAGAAGGCATTTGGGATTTTTCAGTTATAAACTGCAGTATTATTTTTTGGTATGAATGCGCTACTTTTCGTAGAGGAGAGGAGTCAAGGCATTATTTTTTGGGAAGGAAAGTACTATTACTTCCTTCAAAGGAAACTGTGTAACATACTCTTTTGTGCCCAGGAAATAGTGATGTGCGCATTCTTATGTAGACATCAATGTGGAGGGAGTCTAAAAAAATGTGAAGGCAAAGAACTTTTTACATCCGTGAGTAAATTTGTAAAACACTCAATTCAATATGGCTCTTCTGAGGATAAAGATAATAGGACTCACTAGAGCTGCAAAATATTCCGTTGAAGATTCACTCCCTCCTTCTGCTTTGATGACATCAGCAATAGCAGCAAGAACGGCAAGCATATTCTTGTGCAGTTCCATATCTCCTCTAAAAACTTTCAGGAACCTGAAGCAACACAAAATTTGTTATAAAAATTTTAAAAACGGAATAAGCTAAAAGAAATATTGCTGCTTTCCTGATAACCCTTATTTATCCCAGAACTAGAATTTCCTCCTTAAAAACACAGATGACACTACTTGACTGATAGGTCATAAGTGGAGCCACTATTCAGAGGCGTAGGAAGGGGGGTCCAGGGGGGGGGGGGCTGGCCCCCCTAGAGTTGGATATAGTATCATCTGGCTCCCCCTAGAAATTCTGGATGTTGGTTAAACACCTTATTCCACGGTAAGTCTCTGTCGCCGTGGCCCGTTAGAGGATGCCTACAAATTGAAAAACCTGTTGAATGCAACAATATCAAAGTAATTTAACCTTAAAATGCAAAAAACTAAGTGATTTTTAGGCAGAAATTGAAGGAAGATTAGCGCCACAAGTGTCTCGAGATGCGCTCAAATAGAGTTAAAATTTCAACGATTTTCGGGAACCTTAAAATGCATAAAACTGGGAGATTTTTGGGCAGAAATTGAAGGAAGATTAGCGCCACAACTGCTTCGAGATGCGCTCAAGTAGAGTTAAAATTTCAAAAATTTTCCAGACCCCCCACTGAGCTGGAGGGTATTTCATACCTCCCAGACCCCCCGGAGGTTGGGGGCCAGGCCCTCCCCAGCAAAATGACCTAGCTACGCCTATGCAACTAGTACTAATGTGTGAAAAACTGATGGATGGAAGGTAAAAGAGACCATAGTATACAATACCGTGCCAGTGCCGTTGCCTGACACCATGTTTTTTTGAGAAAAGATGTATCTCTTCATATTGGTCGTAAGTATGAACTCAGCTTTTGAACAGGTCTTATTGTTTTTGGCTATCCTTAAAGTTTTAACAATCAGAAAATGATTCTGAAACCAGCAAGACTGTAGCTTGATTGTTGAAATTTTGTGTTTGTCCACCAGAAAAGAGAAGGTAAGAGTGGATAAGACGAGATAGAGCCAATAAAGGTAAAACTGGAGCTGTATGATTGGTCACTTTCATGAGCTATTAGGGTGCGGCTTCAACAACCGAAAAAAAAGAGAAGGTGAAATCTAAGGAGGTCCAAGGGTCAATCGGTGATTGCGTGGAAACAAATGAGTTTAAAATAAATTGAGCGATATTGGATAGTTTAAATCCGGTAATCAAAAGGATTCAAGTTTTGAATTTCAAAGACAATCCCCCAAAATTCCGCCATTTTGTGATACGCCTAAAAATTCAAAATATAAGGAGGTCCGGTTTGGAACCATTCCATTAATTTAAATAAATAGGTTCCTCAAAATTTGGCTAGACTTAGATAAATTTGACCCGATGCTCAAGTGGGTTTGACTTTCTGATAATACCGATTTTTCACTGGTTTTTTGTGAATTTGCAATCCTGCAAAAATACCATGGCCTATGTAATTTTCCAAAGACCTGAATGATGTTCAGGCTTCGGTAGAATGAAATAAGAATGAGAGAAAAATTCAAGTGCATAGATACAAAAAAAGAAGTAAAAAGGGCAGTTACTGACCAAGAAAGCTAGTTCAGCCCCCAACACTTGCCCCTAAAAAGGCTAAAAGCACGGTTGCGGTTAATTGCTACTAGTATATTGAAGTGTACTAAAAGATTCAGTCAACACGCATGAAATAAATTACTGGGTTTTAAGGACCACTTTTTTAATCGATTACAATAAAATACGAGTTTTCAAGATGTGAGGGAATTTTTCTCCATTGTAAAATCATATTTAGATGGAATCGCTCGATTTGATGGAAATCTTGGAAATTTCCGCTATTTTTTTAGAGACAAGGCAAGTTTTAAAAAAATGGGCTATTATTAGCGCGGATTCTGTTCATAGTACAGATAAAGAGAGTACTATCAGTGGCTGAAGTTAAAGTAGAAGGAAAAACGTACATCTCAATGAAATTATTAAACGAATTTGGAGTCCCCCAGGGTAGTATCTTAGGGCCGCTTTTATTTATTATCTATGTAATGTATGTAAATAATGTACTAATGAGTGGCTCGGCTGTGGATTATGTAGACGACAAAACAGTGGTTTTCAAACAACTAAAAAACGAGGAAGACTGGAAATCAGTAAAGAAGGATGTAATTAATCTAAGAGAACTACATTCAGCCATGTCGCAGTCATTCAGCACGGAAAAATCAGTATACATGCTATTCGGCAAAAACGGAAAGCACGAAGTGAACTTGATTCAATGGAAAGACAGCCAACCACTGGGTGAAATCGAAAGGGTGAATAAACACAAAGTACTAGGACTAATAATACAGGAAAATATTGAATGGAATGAGCATAGAGACGCGATAGTAAAAAAACTAGGATCCTACAGCTATGCAATAAATAGACTAAGACATTTACTAAACAGAGCTGATTTGATTAAGCTTTATTATGCCTTCATCTACTCGACGATAAGATATGGGATAATGTTCTGGGGAAACTCGAAAGGAGTTGATAGAGTATTTAAACTTCAGAGAAGAGTACTTCGTAACATTTTTGGACTTAAAAAAAGAGAAACATGTAAACTGATATTCAAAGAAAATGAATTAACGACTGTATACAATATTTATATAAGGGAGTCAGTTTTGTTTGTAAATAGAAATAAGGACTACTTCGAATTTAATAGAGAAAAAGAGAACTATAGAGGTAGAAATGAGGAGGACATACGTATATCAGAGATACCAAAAGGAATGATTTCCAAAGGGCCCAAATACAATTGCTCAAAGATATACAACAAACTCCCTAGATATATTAAAGAAATTGAAGAGAGAAGCACCTTCAAAATAAGAGTAGATACATTTTGTAAGGAGAATGTATTCAATAGTATTGATGAATATTTAGAGTAAATTATGTATATTAGATTTATAACAATTTTTACTTTGACTTTGTAATCTTTTGTTTTAAATCAAAAGAAACAATAA